TTTAAGGTATGAGACAATGTCCACAGTTCCTTTAAGATATGAAACAGCGTCCACAGTCCCTTTAAGATATGAAAAATGTTCACAGTTCCTTTAAGATATGACATAACGTACACAGTCCCTTTTAGATATGAAACAACGTGAACAGTCCCTTTAAGATATGAAACAACGTCCACAGTCCCTTTAAGATATGAAACAGCGTCCACAGTCCCTTTAAGATATGAAAAATGTTCACAGTTCCTTTAAGATATGAAACAACGTCCACAGTCCCTTTAAGATATGAAACAACGTGAACAGTCCCTTTAATAAAAGAAACAACGTCCACAGTCCCTTTAAGACTTGTATAAGATATGTTCTCTGTTTGAAAGATCAATATGAACTGGTGGGTAAAGGAACTAAACTCAGATCTATAAAACATAATTTACACTGTTGATGTATTACATCTAACAACAATACGTCAGGGTCATCTTTAAATACGTTTACCAGAGCTGCAACTTTCTGTTTGATAATAAAACCCATTTAAGGGAGTGACCATTAAATTTGAAAGGGGGGTTCCGAACGAAAAAAATAGAAAATTAAAAAAAACTGTGTGGAGAAATTTTCTTTGTTTTTAAACCCATTTTTAAGATATTAAATTGAAACCCCATTTTACAAATGAAAACCGCTCCCCTTTAAACCTTGTAAAAATTTTTTTTTATTATAAATGTGGAATGAGACAGCAAATTTATTGATTATGAGAGTCATGTCAAAGAATTTTTATCTTTTTATGAAAATAAGTTGATATATGATACAAATTATACACGATAATATATCAATATATACATATATAGATATTTAAGTTTATTATAATCTTATTAAATCGTGCATTCCAAAGAAATCTGATCGTACTCTGTCCGGTATTTAGATAAAAAAGACAATCAAAGTACACGTCAACTTAATCAGCCTCAAAATAATTTGGCTACATCGATTTTCATCTTTGGTCGTCAAAAAGTTGAGTTTTTACCACAAACTCTGATTTTCTAATTACTGTATATTACACATATGTAGACCTTAGATATTTCAAACTATAAAATATCAAAGGTTAAAGGTTACACTATTAGGTTGCAAAGAGTTTGTGGCATAACCTCAACTCCTTTGCATGTGCACACGCAAATATGCCCCTTTGGTAAAATTAAATTAAACCTATATGAAGCATAAAGTCTGACCCCGTCATCCTTGTTGAACCGGCTAGTCCTGCCCATAGTGCTAGATACGGTACAAACTGGGACCGGATAGGTTGACCCGGCTCGGAAATTCAAATGTACTACGGCTGCCCATGTGCAGTCATGTCAAACTAAAATAAATTTCACGTTTGATTTAAACCTTCTTCTACTTAAAAACGTTTTATTGCATAGTTAATATTTAACAAAAATATAATTAGGAAACATTTATACTACACTCTGGCTTTTCGCTTTATCCAGCACCATAGTTTCAGTAGAAGTAAATATTTCCATTTACTGATAGCGCCGATACAAGGATTTATAATTCTAATTGGATAATGAGATAGATAGATGTAACCGCAATACAATTTCTTTTGGTTCAGAACAGACCACAAACACATGACTGAACCCTGATTGGATCAGACGCTAATGGACTCGGCATACGGGAGTGCCAGCTAAGCCATGAGCATTTCATGGCTTGGAATATTAACTGGGTAATTTAGAGACTTCCTTAAATTAGTGAGAATTGCACAGGGTTTTACTTATTAGCGAAAAACTCTTTTTTTTCTGCAAGTGATTTGGCACAGATTACTTTGGTGTAAAAATATATACCGCTCATAGAAGTTTAAGGTTGAGTAAAGAACTCGCAGATAAAATATAATATACAATATAAAAATAATATAGTATTGAAATAGTATAAAAATGCTTGTCGACTGGATGATAATCAGTTTTCTGCATGGGCAAATGATTGAGATTCAAATTGAAAGTATCAGTTCAATCAAGGTTAGCTTTTTCCAACAATTTCCCAAATTTCAAAGTTAAAAATGCTTTTCGCTTAATGAATCTTCACTTTGATTTAAACCTAATATGTTTTAATAACTTCTGTTATTGTTAAAACTAAAATGGTTTGAATGGTTTCTATGCTACTACGGTCCACGGATATATCTGCTATTCTCATATTTTTACATAAAATCCAAACTAAAGGAGCTAAAGTTGCATGAATTTGACCTTTTCTCTCTGTCTGTTCACCATGCACTGTACATGCATAATCCGAACCGGTACAACATGTACTGTACATGCATTCACTCTTACTGCCCAGTCTGGACTATCAAGGGTAGAATCAACCCATCACGTTTTTTGCAACAAATGTAGTCTGGCATGAAGATTACAATGGTCAATGAACGGAGAAAGGGTAGAGTTTGGACATAGAAGATCGTCGAGTGATAAAAAATAAAGCTAAGGGATCCGGGCAACGCAGAATTTAATGATTTGAATATTTAATTTGTTTGATTTGGTGGTAATAAAAAATAAAATATAAAAAAGGTTTTTTTTAGACACTTGAAAAAGCACATTTGAAAAATCATATTCTAGTTTCATCAATTTCTCGTAATGATTCTTTTCAGTTTACCTGGAATTAAACTTTCCCGGTGGAAAAATCCATGCTGGAAATGAAGTTAACCGGAATGTTCCGAACGAAACAAAAAATGGAAAAGCCTAAAAAAAGTAAAGTCAAATGTTTTCTAATGTAATCAAGTAGGGTAGATTAGTTTTGGTAAACATAATTATTTATTGTTTTTCTTTTTCTCCGTTCAGAAACCAGGAGTGTTTATAAACATCAATAAACAAGAGATTGCATAACTAATTTAAAAGACAAATAATATCTTAATGTCTAATTCAGCCAACTTAACGCTCAAAGATGTATGGCCTCAATTGATTCCTGAGCGAGAAATTTCCGGTTTTTTTTCGCCAAAACTCCCAATTTGAAAAAAAAAACACAATTGACTTTGATTATAGTTACCCGCAAAGGATAAGACTGCAAAGACGACTCTGTACACTGTACACTTAGGCACTCAATTTTTAGCGAATAAAATAATGATATTATTTTCAGTTGTGGTTTCTCTGTAAAACTGACTTGCGGATATCTGCAAACGAAACTTAATAGAAAAAATTGTCAGAATTAAACAGTTTGCAAACATTTTCATTTAAATTACGACGACAGTGCCTTTAATACCATTAAAAAGATGAAAAAGATACTTTTACAAACATCTTTTTTTCTGTTGGTTAATGGGGATATTAACCAACACAGCAACATTCCTTAAATTAGGATTTATTTTAAAAATTCTCAAAAAAATGCTTTAAATTCAGCAGAATTCGTTGCATAATGTTTTATTATGTTCTATTATTTTTATGAAACTATTGTGTACTTTATCATTCTTACTCACTTCATCGGGAATTTCATAATAAACGTACTATTTCATCGTGCTATAAAGTTTAATTAGCTGTACATTATAGCACGTGTGCTATAAAGTTTTGATTGGTTCCCGGATTTTCACTAAAAAATTTGGGATATTTCCAAAATAATTTTTTTCAATTGAAATGAAAATATAATTGATATCAACTTTATTTTTTTACTTCTGCTTTGTAATTCAAAGCTTATTTGATCTTTAGAAATAGCCATTGAAATAAGACAAGTACACAAACATTTCAAAAAATTACCTATAACACTGGGAACCAAAATAACAGTGTTATAAATAGTTCGGAAGTGCAACACAGTTTTTTATCTATATAATCTTATAACTGTGTTTGTTTGTTTGTTTTTATGTCCGATCATAACTCAAGAACCACTAGACCGATTTGACACAAGTTTTGATCGGGGAACTCGGTAGTGTCACAGGAATGTACTTAGTTTAGGTTCAAAGTTCCACACTGCGATATTGCCAGGCTGCATTTGTTGCATAACACGTGCTGGGTGTACTTTACACTGGGTAGTCCAGACTGGACTGAATCCTAAATAGTAAAAGTTGTACCGGCATGGATCATGCAACTTTTAGTGTGGTTTGTCTAAGATGAGTTTGTCGACCAACAAATATTTTCTAAGAAACCAAGCTTAACATGAAAATATGTATTTGTTGATAAGCAACTTTAGGCTATATAAAGTATGGGTTAAGTTTTACAATTTTTAAAGAAATACTCATATTTTTAACATGAAACATAACATTTATGAATTTAGTCTATTTTTGAAGATTTTGTATTTCATATCCAAAGGATCCTCGAATATCCCTGAATACCAGTGGGCGGAAACGTCATATATGTGCAAGGTACTAATGCAAGGAAAGTTAATTGCAGTCGCGTATACTCTGCGTACATATTGAAACCAGTTCTCTCTGGGCGGAATTTGTAAACAATAATAGATGCATCAGTGTTCGTTTAGTATCCGAGGAGGATAAAAGCATTTATTTTTATAATTTTGAAAATTTACATAATAGTTTCCTCAGAATATTTCATAGTTTATTTTTTTGAAAATGGATTCCATGTCAGGCTGTGACATCCGTCTTGTGTTTACTTTTCCGCCCAAAAACAGTACACTGCAGTACAAAAAATGCGAACACCTCTGGAAATAACTTTCCTTGCATTAGTACCTCTTCGTTTTATAACTCTATGCGTATATCTCTGGGTAATGTATATTTCTTTTTATACAATAAAAACAATAAACACAAAAGACTATTTGTCTCTGTAATCTCTTTATTTGCACTCTATATGTTTCATACCTTTTAACCTAAGTATTTATTTCTTTAAACGTAATTTGAAATTACTCTCCATTGATTCACTTGATACGCTTAAAATTCTTGTCTGAACAAGTATGCATTAGATATCCATGTTCTTGTTTTTGAAAATTGATCATTTTCATTTGTGGTTTTAGAGAAATTAACAGAATTACTACGTTATCTTCTATAGTAGTAATCAGATCAAGGGTACCGTTGTGCATCGTGAATAAACCCTTTTTAATTGAGTAATCACCTTAAATTACAGATCTGCCTTTATTTTCGAATCAGTTTAAAAAGACAGAGACATTTTATTGATTTCTGAATACACCTTTTTATAATTACTTTTTTTTACAATATTATTAAAACAACAAAGTCAAGTCAACTATCACAACAGATTTTACATGTTTAAATATGGGCGTTTGGTCCCTTTTTTAGAACCACGTCGCCCATTTGGAGGCTTAGGAAGGATGTTCTTTCAGCTGATATTAAGTCAGGGGGGGTATTTATATATTTAAAACAGGTTTGGTTTGGTGGAGGAGGGGAGGGGGAAAAGATTGAGGGATTTACAATTCATTGCACATCCTGTACACCTCCTGGACATACGAGAATATCATCTTAGGATCAATTCGGTGATCAGATACCATACCTAAATAGATAAATATATAGATATATAGATAGATATATAGATATTGCTAGTATAGATAAAAAGAGTGATAATTTTGTATTTAACATTAAATTTGGTTTATTATACATGATACAATACACACAAAATTACATAGATACAAACCTAATATTTATATATAGGATTAAGAATTTGACATTAAAGACGACCGTAAATTCTTTTAGTAAACCGATTCTAAGGTTGAATTCGGGTTTTGACTGAAAAGTAGTCTTTAATGATTTGGTCATGGAAAAAAACAAGTTTAAAGCTGCAAAGAACCAAGAATTTAAGATATATTTCATCTTAAATATTTTTAAGAGAAATTCAAACATGTTATGTGTCTAAATCTTTGGTAGATACAAATAAATATAAAACTGATTAATTTTAATTATATCAAACGTGTTGGATAAAATTATAGTAATTTGCATTTTTTAAGTAAACTACAATCTTGCATGATTATAGTTATATAACAGAGAATTTTTCAAAAGATTTAAAAAAATTATTTTATGAAATGCTGACAGTAATGTATTTATATTTCAAAACAAATCGTGTCTTATTAGAAAACAACTAATTTGCTACAGTTTAATAAAATATTCATATTTATTCTTATCTATGTTTTCAAAATATGCGCAAAAAATTGTTATTTTTTATTGTTTTATTTTAAAAGAAAATTATATGTCACACGCAGCATAAAGTTAATACTAATTATGTACGCTAATTAGGAAAAAAAGTAATTATGTTTTAATGACCATTTTAGAAAAAAATACTAAGCACTTTTGTTTCCAAAATAACAACATCTAAAATAGCAAGAGCAAGCAATCAATTTTTAAAGGGAGTGACCGGCAATGTATGGTGGTTGAACTGAGTATGCAGTATTGTAGAGAAATTGTTTAGGATATATTTAAGACATATAAAACGTTTCCACGATGCATAATTATACTGAATTTGAGTGCAAAGTCGACGTTCAAAATCATGAATTTGGGTGGGTACCATTTCAGAATCGTTTTTTTAATTATTTAATAACGACGACAAAAATAAAGTAGAAATGATACAATAAACTTATTAGATGTTTAGGAACATATTTCTCAAAAGAAAAATTTGTCAACAAATCAATGCTAGAATCAATTCTTTCGTTTTCATTATTATATTGAATTTCTTATTTTCTTTGAATTTGTTCGCAGATTTCTGCAAATTCTTCAAAGGTCGTCTTTTCAATAAGAATTCAAGAAAATCTGCAGAAAATCTTTGTAATTAAAGAGAGATTATAGAATTACTAATAATCGAATAAAATTACGTTTTTTCGATTATAAGAGTTGATTTTTTTTTCTAAAGGTTAAAGAATTTCATGAGAATCATTTATTCCTTTAAAGGGAATATACATGTAACTTGAAGTGTCCCTCCCTTGGTAGAGTGGCATGTTCGATTATCAACGATATCCTTAAAAACTTTATCTAATAAAGTTTAAATTTGTCTATCCCTGTTTTTGCTTTTGAAAAATAATTTTATCTGATGGCTCAAAATAAAATTGTAATTTGCGCATTTCTTGAAGAAAACATAATTTAGTAAATTTAAAAGCTAGAGAAAAAAACCAACATTATTGATTAAATTAAGATTTCAAGGGTACCGTTCTAAACTTTTTTGAAAACTTACCATCCATATCATCAGCTGTAAGGAAGTCAGGTATACCGGCAAATCGTCTAAAAAAAATAATTTTTCAACAAATATTTTTGAATAATTTTCAAACAGTTATGTGTGCATTTTTTTTTTAACTTATTTACAGTCATGCATTTTTTCTTCAAATTAAAAATATTTTGTAGAAACATTAAACACTCATGCGTAAAATAAATAATCCCAAAACACCTACGACACTGTTAGAAATGTAAAACTAATTGATATCTGATAAAAGCAGTAGCACAATAGACGATATATGTTTAACATGTTTAACAGTATGTTAGATTGATTTGATGAATATGTTTTTATCCTATTTCTGTTACAGATATTTAACACTTTTCTCAGTGAAATATTTGACTAACTTAATATAGTAAATATCAGCGAAAATCAACAAACTTAAATCATGAAAAAGATACTAAAAAGTCAAATTTCACCAATATTCATAAAACATTATTATATAACATTTTACGCTCCAACTAAAATACTAATTTGTCAGCTCTACCAGCTAACCTAGAATCTAATATTCGACCCATATACTAAAATTGCTGACATCGGAGTAATTAAAGATTATAATTGTCAGCTAATTATATAATACTAAAGTTGCAAACCATTACGTACAGATCTACCTACAAAAGATGAGACTGTAAAGACGACTTTCAACCATTGAAATAAAATAAGTTGTCTGCCTTAAATAAATTCGTTTAATGGCTTGTTTAATGATTTAACAAAGAAAGAATCAAGTTCGTGAATATCGAGAAATATACAGTATATAAATTCCGTACAGTCGTCTCTATTGTCTCATCCTGTTCATGGATGAGACTTCAGAGACGACTTTTGTATTTAATTGTAGTATTGGTTCACTGCATTTGTAGTCATTTTTGGCAAAATCATTTAGCAGTTCATTCAAGGCCAAAATAAATCTTGAATCATAAACTTTAAAGTCGTCATTAAAGTAGTATCCTTTGCGGGAAACCCTGTACAAAATATGCGTATTGTCAGCTATTTTAATTTTGTATAAGTGAAACTAACAATTAAAGTAAAATTGCTTAAAGATTATTAATCATTTTTAAAATAAGTCTTGACACACCATCTTAGCATAAGGAAAAGTTTAATTTATATGGAGCTCCTCTTGTTTATTTTATACGGAGCTCCTCTAGTTTATTTTATACGGAGCTCCTCTAGTTTATTTTATACGGAGCTTCTCTAGTTTATTTTATACGGAGCTCCTCTAGTTTATTCTATACGGAGCTCCTCTAGTTTATTTTATACGGAGCTCCTCTAGTTTATTTTATACGGAGCTCCTCTAGTTTTTATTTTACACTGATATTAAAGTAAAAAAATAAATTAAATGTACGTATAAGAATAATTAAAATTTTATTTTGAATTTACATTTTTTAGTTTTGTTTATAAATTGCCCTTTTGGTAAGCTCATTAAATTAAGCTTCGTAAAAAATATTTTAAAGACTTCTTGGTGAAACTAGTTAAACCATTTTATATTACGAACGACCTCAAAGAATAATTAATTAAAGGGACTGTAAGCGTAATTTCAAGTGAATCTCCATGCAAAGATGGTAATACCTGATTCACAATCCTTAAAAGCTTTGTCTGATCAAATATTGAAATAGAATGTCTGCAATTATCAGAATTGAATACTTTAAATCTAAAAACCCCGACAATATTGCCAACATTTTTGATATTCTTTCTTTTTCAAAGGTTTCAAGGGTACCGTTGTGAATCAGACATTACCATCTTTGTATGGAGGGTCACTTAAAATTATGCTCACAGTCCCTTTAAGTTCTAACTTTAAAGAATTTTTTAAACTAATAATGTTTATGTTGTACAATTAAGAAAAGTAGTTTTGCTGTGCAAGCTGCTTAAATTCTAAACTCCCCTGGTGGACTGAGAGTATAAAAATTTACATTTTAAAAAGGATAGAATTATAAATTAAACATTAAACAGAAAAACATTAAATAGAAAATTCGATTAAAAAAAATAAGAAAAAATGAAACATATTGTTTTCTGAAAACTATAGAACTATTTAAATACTATTCAGAAAAATTTGCTTAATGAAAATAATGCATTCCTGAAAAAGAACATGCAAAAATAGAAAATTTCTGCATTTAATACAGTGCCTACAACAACGCCACCTATAAACACAGTGTCTATGATGATAACGCAACTGAAAATACAGTGTCTATATGATAACGCCACCTATAAACACAGTGTCTATGATAACCACCTATAAACACATTGCCTATAATAACGCCATCTATAAACACATGTCCAATAACGCCATCTATAAACACAGATGCTGATGATAACGCCATCTATAAATACAGTGCTTATTATGACGCCAAATATAAACACAGTGTCAATGATAACTACATCTTTAAACGTGCCTAAGATAAATCTACCTATTAACACACTGCTTATTGTAACGCTGTCATATTTTAACGTGCCTATAATAACGCTACCTATGAAAACAGTGCCTATTATAACTGCCATCTATAAACACAGTGCCTATGATAACGCTATCTTTAAATACACAGTGTTTATAATAATGTCATTTACAAACACGTGCCTAATAACGCCATCTACAAATATTTGCCTAATAACGCCATCTATAAATATGTGACTATAACGCCATCTAAAAACATGTGACTAATAACACAATCTATAAACACATGACAAGTAAAGATGTGACTAGTAACGCCATCTTTAAAGACGTGCTTACTAACGCCATCTGAAAACACATGCTTAATAGCGCCATCTATAATCACATCTATACAGAGAACACACAGTGCTAGGTTTACCCTGAAAGATATTAGTTGTCCTTGAGTGCTCTGTACACTTCTTGGATGTATGCAAACACAACTTTGGGATCCAGGCGGCCGGACGATATCATGTCGTCCATATCGTCTCCAGAAATAAAATCTGGAATGCCGGCCAACCTCCTAAATTCACACAAAAGGGACTGAAGAGGGAAAGTTAGTATATAGGAGAGGGAAAACTATTGGAATAAATAGGAATATTAACTATGAATGGAATATACGGGATTATCGTTATTACTTTAAAAATAAAGGAGCATTTCATTTAATTTGCTAATTTTGCTCTTAAGAACGTGTTTTTAATCAGCTCGAGAAAATATTATGTTTTTGTTTAAATCGACCCTTATGCTGAAAATGGTGATAGCTCTCTTTAAAATTCGTGCACGCCCCCTCCCTTTGCACACTAGCTGAACAATTCCATTAATCATTATATTGTTTAATTACATCACGTAATATTTGATTGAGAATAATTAATCCTTAATATTTATTCCTTTCCATATTCCTATACATTCTACAGACTCTAAATTACCAAATAAAAAACCTCGCTTATTTGACTGCAGCAAACGATTAATGGCTGCAACAAAAAATGCCTAAATTCAACAAAAAATCGGTTATTTTGCAGCAATAAGTTGAATGGCTGCCAAATAAGGGATTATTTTCGAATATAAGCTAAATTTTGTCACTTGTCACTGATAGATTAACGATTTTTGTTTGATTTGGTAATCTAGAGTGATGGATAGTTAGGATTTTAAAAAATTGTTAAACCCAAATTTTTGGAAAATAGGACAAATCGCGAAAAATTAAATAAATCAAAATAAAACTATAAAGCGCTTGGTATATGCTGAACATTCGATTCATAAAAATCAAACTAACGAAAGCAATCAGTTAAAATGATAATAGTCTACTCGCAATTTCTATCAAAATATTCGTCATTTACAACGAAATGTTCATAATTTCAAACTAAATATACTCTTCATTTTAATCAAAATAGTCATCATTTCAAACAAAATATTCGTAATTTCTAACAAAATGTTCGACTGTTCTAATAAAATGTTCGACAGTTCAAATAAACTTTAAACAACAAACAACAAAATGTTCATCATTTTAAACAAAATATTCATCATTTCAAAGTTATTTCTGTTTGATGTTTCTATAAAGATAGTTTGATAAAACCCAGAAACAACTTGCTGGTTCTCTCGTTTATATCAAAATCTTATAATCTTATAATATAACAGAATGTTCATTATTTAAAACAAAACGTTCATCATTTCAAACAAAATATTCGTCATTTTAATCGAAATATTCGGAATTTTAATCAAAATGTTCTGCATTTGTTTTCTAAAAGTTCATTATTTCAAACAAGATATTCATCATTTCAAGCAAAATGTTCATCTAACAATATTTCCCAACAAATGTCATCATTCTAAACAAAAATTCCGTCATTTCAAAGTGCTTTCGATAGTTCGATACTAAGTTTTCTGCTAAAAGTGTAATCTGTTTTTTTTTATTATTTCTGTTCCGTCATTTCAAAGTGCTTTCGATAGTTCGATACTAAGTTTTCTGCTAAAAGTGTAATCTGTTTTTTTTTATTATTTCTGTTTGATGTTTCTGAAAATAGAGTATCTGTTTACAGATAGATCTGTTTATAGATAGATCTGTTTATAGATATATCTGTTTATAGATAGATCTGTTTATAGAGAGACCTGTTTATAGATAGATCTGTTTATAGATAGATCTGTTTATTGATAGATCTGTTTATAGATAGATCTGTTTATAGATAGATCTGTTTATAAATAGATCTGTTTATCGATAGATCTGTTTATAAATAGATCTGTTCATAGATAGATCTGTTTATAGATAGATCTGTTTTCAGATAGATCTGTTTATAGATAGATCTATTTACAGATAGATCAGTAGGTTTATAGATATATCTAATAGAAATAAAAGTTTGATTCTTAATGGTTTACTTAAAATTATTTGTATTTGACAATTTTGCCACTTATTTACTTTTGCCCCAATGCGTTTTTTAGGTTTAAATTTTTTATAAAATCCTAACTAAGCTCTGGTCAAAAGGATAGTTAGTTAGGTGAAAGATAGGATTAAAAAGAGACTGTACCAGCATTTTTTATAGACATTTTATTCACCAAGAGGAAAATTTAAGAGTTTTTTAATTTTGCATTTTTAAGATTGGTAAAACAAAAATGATTACATTACATTCTTTACAACATTTTTAGAGATTCAAATTGTATAATTGTTCAAATTCTTACAATAATTTTTCCTACAATGAAATCACTTACTAATAAAGAAAGTCTCCATAGTTCAGAAATATAAAATTATGTTCCAAAATTGACCGAAAACCCTATTTACTGATTACTCGGCATAAATAAATCTTTTAAAAAGTGTGTATAGTCCCTTTTTAAAATAAAGGAGTTACAATAAAACGTGGGACCTGATAATTATTATAATATAAACATTAATAATATGATACCATTATTAAATTATTAATATTGGTAATATCAATATTGATATTATGATATTATTAAAAGAAAATGAAAGAGTATTATACAGTGAGAACAAAAACTATGAAAAAGGATGACGACATTAAGCATTAACTTATTTACTGAAATGAGTCTGTTATGTCTCATGTTCATTGGACTATTTAAAGTCATAAGTTGTGTCTTAAAATCATCCTCCTATTCTTATATTTACGAATTTAAACCGAGTCGTTGATCCGCCAAAAACCGGTTCCAAGTGAGCTGCGGCTCAAATCTCGAAACACTGAATACATTTTGAAGTGGAACCAACCATATAAGAGCCGCGTCTGTTTCTCACTGTTCACCAATTTCAGAAAACTTTTTTGCGTACTTGTTCAAGGCCTTTTCTGCATCTAATATCTGTTGAGTAGGTACACATAGGAAAAAGTTAATATATTTTTTACTTTTTTTTAGCTAAAGTTTTTAAAGGAATTGAACGCAGGTTACAAACATTATAACTTTACCATCTTTATAACTTTGCAATCTGACGGTGTTCACTTTTACTATGACATCAAGTTGCAAAGATATAAGGTTTAGAAGAATAGACTATGGTGAGTAGTTAGATCTCTTCAATTTCCCTTCATTTTTTTCAGAAGGGGTTTGTTTTGTTTTGTCTTTAATAGGTTAATGGAAGTATAAATATAGGGATAAATAAAAGGGTAGATAGAGGGATAGATAGATAGTTAGATGGATAAATAGAAGGATAGAAGGATAGATAGATAGATAAAACACTTACTCTCCGGTCTGGAAAGCCAACTCGTAATTCTGTTTCCTGTTCTGGGGTTCTATCTAACTCAAATTTCTATACATCTAACTTCTATCTATATCAATCTAACTCATATTTCTATCTATCTAACTCGTATCTAAATCTATCTACCTCAGTTTTTTTATCTATATAACTCCTACCTATATCTATCTAACTCAAATTTATATCTATTTAACTCATCTTTATATCTATCTAACTCCTATCTATTTCTATCTAACTCCTATTTCTATCTAAGTGACTCATCTTTATATCTATATAACTTCTATCTATATCAATCTAACTCCTATCTATTTCTATCTAACTCATGTTCCTATCTATGTTACTTAACTTTATATCTATCTAATTCCTATCTATATCTATCTAACTCCTATTTCTATCAACTTAACTAATATTTCTATCTATGTTACTTATCTTTATATCTACCTAATTCCTATCTATATCTATCTAACTTCTATCTATATCTATCTAACTTCTATCTATATCTATCTAACTTCTATCTATATCTATCTAACTCCTATCTATATATCTAACTCATGTTCCTATCTATTTATCTATCTAATTACTGTTTAGATTATATTTAGCATTTATCTATCTATCCCTAGTTTTCTGTCTGGTTTTTTCTTTTTATGCTTTCTTTTGTTTCTTTATATACTAACTACAGGGCAATATATGTATCTATATATATAAAGCAGTGCTGTCTGTTTGTATGTCCGCTCATAACACATGAACCCCTTTAGTGATTTGCCTCAAACTTTAATTGGGATGCTCGGTAGACCCACAGGAATGTCCTTAGCTTGATTTTAAAGTCAAGTTTAAAAGAAAGTTTTCCAGACAAAGCTTGGGTTCCCAAGCTAGCATATCATAATAATAAATACCGTCAAAATTAGAATAAAACGGTATGAAAGTATTCTTTATTCAGTAATCAGTATGTCTCTGGTATAATAAAAGTCGTTTTGAAATTATCTACTTTTAATTTAAATTTTAAAATTCAAAAATTGTTTGCAATTTTAAGAAAATAATAGTTTTTAATGCTTTCATTTTTGGGATTTATTTGTGAAAAATATAAACCCCTCAACCTTCATGGAGCGTGGATAAAAGAAAAAATATGTTTACTGTTCTCTTGTTCTAAATATATTCAGCGAGTGAGACACGAAAATATAAATACGACAGTTAGAATCAGGTTTTTTGAAATGTTTAATGAACATGAAACCATCAATTGTGCAGTGTGAACAGACCAAATTTACGTATGAAGTTTATCTATAAGCTACTGGGAAGACTGTTTCCTTTATACCAACATTAACTGCACATATAAACTTTATTATATTTACATTTTTATGGTTCTAACTGTATTATATGTACCAAAGAAAAGAAGGTGAGAAGGGAGGGATCAATACAATAATTGTTAAATATTGCCAATCCCACAATCCAAATCCAATTCCCAGTTTCAGTAGAAGTAAATAGTTCCATTTAGTGTATAGCGCCGAAATAAGGATTTATCTCTAATTGGATGATGAGAGATAGATAGAAAGATAGATGTTACCGCTATGCAATTTCTATTGATTCAGAATAGTATTATAATTATTAATATTATTATCATTATTATCATCTATATAATACCCATTCAGGGGTTAAGTTTTACATCTTTTAAAGAAATACTCCAATTTTAAACATGATACATAACATTTATGTATTCAGTCTTTTTTTTTGAAGATTTGTTGTTTCATATCCAAAGGTTCCTTAAATATCCCTGAATACAGATGTTTGCTGATTGGTCGTGTACAGTACTTGTACACAATAGAACATGCTGTGGAAAATATCGCATATTTTAGCTGATAATCAATCTCTGTTCTAACTCCTTAAATTTCTGAACGTTACTTGAAATAAACCGGAGTTTACATGGTGAGCATTGTCAGAGTTTTCATGATAATAATATCTTAATTAATGTTTTGTTATGCGCTTAGATTAGTTTTATATATTTAAAGTAGTTTTATTTTAAAACTTTAAAATAGATGATTACGGATCACCCCGAACTAACGATAGAGAGAAGCATTTGGTTTCTTTTATTTGAAATCAAACAGATTTGTTTATTTTATACTTTTTCATTCAAAATGTACCAACAAAAAATTATTTTAGAAAAAAGGCTATAAAATTATGTGTAAGGGGTCAAATTGTGATCGAAAGTCACAGCTTTCTGAAATACTGACAGAACCGTTAAATCCACGTGGGATTCCTAACAAAGATGGAATCCTAATAAATATGGAGTCCTAATATACATAGAGATCTAATGAACATGGAGTCACAATTATATGGAGTCCTAATAAACATGGAGTCCTAATATACATGGAGTCATAAAAATCATTGAGTCCCAATAAACATGCAGTCCTAATAAACATGGAGTCCTAATAAACATGGAGTCCTAATAAACATGGAGTCCTAATAAACACGGAGTCCTAATAAACATGGAGTCATAATAAACATGGAGTCCTAATAAACATGGAGTTCTAATAAACATGGAGTCCTAATAAACATGCAGTCCTAATAAACATGGAGTCCTAATATGCAAGGAGTCCTAATAAACATGGAGTCCTAATAACCATGGAGTTCTAATAAACATGCAGTCCTAATAAACTTGGAGTTTTAATATTCATGGAGTCCTGATAAACATGGAGTCCTAATAAACATGGAGTTCTAATGAACATGTAGTCCTAATAAACATGTAGTCTTAATAAACATGGAGTCCTAATAAACATGGAGTAATGATAAACATGGAGTCCTAATAATCATGGAGTTCGAATATGCCTGGATTCCTAATAAACATGGAGTCCTAATATACATGGAATCCTAATAAACATGGAGTCTGAATATACATGGAGTCCAAATAAACATAAATTGAAATGATTTAGAATCAGAATGAAAATATTAAAACGAAATCTGATCTTTAAATAAAAAATTTCCAAAAAATATCTAATTTTAGAAACATAGTTCTTTCGTACTTTCATTTTTAATCAAAAAAAATATTCAATACACGTTATTTTTATAAAAAAATAAAAATTTTGAATTAGTTTACATGAACTATACATCTGTGTTTTTATGATAATATATTGTAACATTGTAATATATTTCAGTTTGTATACAAAATGGCCAATGCCAATTTTCAGTAGTTTGAACCTGAATGAAAATATTTTTTGCGGATTCTTTACAAGAGGTTC